GGAGTCTTCCAAGTCTTCCGAGCCTTTTCAGTCTTCCTGGAACTTTCAGTCGAAGATGAGACTCAGTCTGACGGAGTCTTACAGCTGAACAAAATAGCTGATGGATTTGACCATGTGCCAAGGGTCCGTCCATTCCAGCGTAGTCACAGCCTGCCTCCTCGGCTGTGACTCAACCCGAGTAGTAATTGCTCAACTTCGAAGGAAGCTTATTCTGTTGAACTGAGTACTTCGTCACAACTTCTGACGACCCCAGCCACTCTGACCGGAGACGCTGAAAAGGGAGCGTGCCAATGGACATCTGTTCCGGAGTTGACTCCTCTGCTAAGGTAACAAAGTTGTTGCACGCCCTGAAGTGTACCAGAGGGCTGAACTGGATTCGGAGGAAGGGTGCCATTTTCTGGTTCAACACTTAACTTTCATCCATCTAAACCTCCAATTTAAATCTATCTATTCCTTCTCTTTCTACTTCTATTCGCCAGTAAATCAAGCTAGATGCCTTCAGAGGTGAATCAGTCTCAATCAGTAATCTTCTGTTGTCTTGTTTAGTAAATCGTGCCAAGTTTATTAATCAGAAACCGATCAGCAAATCAATGTGTACATGTTTGATGTTAAATTTTGATTCTGTTAAATAAATGACCACATTTATTCTGATGGGTCAAAGATAAAATGGCGTCTCATGTCACTAATTACACACTCCACTCCAAGTTATCTTGGTCGCATGGCAGAAATTTAACTTGAAAAAGAAAATAATCCGTTGTAATTAAACAATTAATATTCTTTGTGCTTGAACTAGCTTTAAGAATAATTAATTAGTAGTATGTTACAGCGAAAGCTGTCCCTACATCACTATATTTAAAACAGTTAAACAGAACCTTTACAATAATAGCACTGTCAGACATGGCTCAACGATAAAAACACAAATAATGTTCACATCGAAGGGTATGAATTATATCATGTGAACAGAAGCAACAAAAGGGGTGGTGGAGTGGCTATATTTGTTAAAAATGAAATAAAATGTAAGTTAATTAATGAAATGTCAATAATTGTTGATAATATCATGGAAATAATAACAATAGAAATAATAAACAAGAATGATAAAAACATATTGATAAGTTGTGTATATCGATCTCCAGGATCAAATATAGAAATATTCACTGATAAAATCTTATAACTATTGGACAAGAGTTTTAATAAAATAATTTTTTTGTGTAGAGACTTTAATATTGACCTGGAGAAATAAAACAGATTCAAATAACACAGTACATTTACAAATTCATTGTATAGTTTAAATCTTTATCCGTTAATTTCAAAACCAACAAAAATTACAACTCATAGTGCTACAATAATCGATATTTTCACAAATGTAACAAATGGGGATGTGATGGGAGGTATTTTAATGAGTGATTTGAGTGATCATTTACCATTTTTCATGATTTATAAAAATGATCAAAGCATTACAAAAGAAATCACAATGAAGAAAAAAACAATAAACACATCAAAAAAAGCAATGTACAAATTAAAATATGATTTTCATAAACAAATTCTGGCAAGACGTGTATGTTGATGATGTGAACAGATCGATCATATGATGAGTTTATGAATATTTTGGGAGCTCTGTATGAAAAGAATTGTGTGCAAAATAATTATACAAAGAGAAATGTTGTTGACCAACCATGGATGACGAAAGGGTTGAGAAATGCTTGTAAAAAAATAATTATTTGTACACGTTTCTTTTACGTACACGTTGGCTGCATGCGGGCCCTCAGGTGGTCTGTGGCGGCAGTCGTGGGTCACCGATCTGGTAGCCTGGCTGTGCTGGTGTGGGTTCGGGGTGGGCGCGGGGGCTTGGGGTTCTGGGGGCTTGTTGCCCCCATACTTGGGCCTGTGGGGATCGGGGATCTTGGGCTCTGGCGGGCGGGTTGCCGGGCTCTGGGCCGGCTTGCGCTCTGGTGCCCGGTTCTGGGCGGGGGCCTTCGCCTCGCTAGTGGGTTGTGGGTTCATGGGCTGGGGGATTGGGTGTTTGGGGGTGTGACCAGTGGCCCCTAAGAGGGGATAGTTTGACCCAGCCTAGGTGTCTAGTGTGCTATGTGTTTTGAGAGATGTCCGAATGAGGGGTGGGTGTAGTATTTCTTCTGGGGTGGGGACGGGGTTGATGTCCTTGGGGACGGCCCGGGACTGTGCATGGCCGACTGGCTGGCCCCTTTCCTGTGGTGGGGGCTCGCTCCCGGTGCTTCCTGGCTCTGTCGGCGGTTGGGCGGGCGCTCTTGGCCGGGTCGTCCTGGTGGGGTTTGGCTTCATCTGGTGACGGGCTGACTGCGGTTTGTGGGGGTCCTGGCGGCCCTCGGGTGTGTAGGCTGTTGGTACTGCTTCTGGCGGCCCTCGGGGCTCTGTCCCTCTCTGGTCTGGAGCTCAGCGGGCCTGGCGGTCGGTCCAGATGGAGAGGTGTCTTGGCCTCAATCCCTGGGTGGACCTTGAGGAACTGGGGGGGGGGGGTGCTGTTGGGTCAGTGGGGGAGCTGACTCCCTGTGGGAGCATTTGCTCTCACAGTTATTTCTCCCCATCCCTCACCATGCACCTCCACCCTCTTCATTTCAATTCCACACATTTAGGGTTGTTTGGGCTCGGGTGTGCTGCAACAATTTTACATCTCTGTTGACTATAGCCACCTGGGACTCAATTTTATTGTACACATTAGACATTCATTCATAACATCCTCATGACATTCACATATAGGAACTTGAGGTGGGCACATGGCTATGGGTGGTGGGATGACCTTACTCTCACCCCCTGTGCCTGTGCTCACTTACAACGGTTGCATTTAGACACTAGGGTTTGGATAGAGTTGGGGTGGAGGGGAAACTGGCATCATGCCAGCCTTTGCTCCTTCTTCTTTCCTTTTTAATGGCACTATACAACAACACACATCAACAGCACATCCAGGGGCGGGGGTGTATGTGTCGGGGTCTTATTTATTTATTTATTTTTCCTCCCCCCTAGTTCCCTAACTGCTATTCTGGGGGTGGGGTCCGGGAGAAGGGCAGGCCGTCGGGTGTTGACCAGGACTATGTCGGGGTCTGGGGGATTGCCGTGGGCGGTGCTGGCGCTGTGCTCTCCCTGGGGTTGTTTGGACCCCCTGAGCTTGGCTCTTGGGTGCCATGGTTGGCCCGCTGGCCGGGGTGGCTGCCGGGGCCTGGCGGGCGGTCGGCTGGGGGTGCGTGCTTGGTTGTTGGCGGTGTGTGGGGGTGGTCGGTGGCGTGTCCTCTTCATGGTGGGGGGTGTCCTGTCGGCTGGGCGTGGCCTGGGCCGGGTCTGGGATATTGGCTCTTCTCCGCTCGAGAATGAATGGGTTTACCTCCTGGGTTTGGGCATGGGCTGCCCCCTGTAGAGGGCGGGTACATGTCTTGGACCTGGGGGGTATAGAGTGCGTATCTGGAATAAGAATAAAATGTATAGTTATTGTATGTCTTTGAGTGAGTGAGTGTGAGAATGAGGCTGGGACTGTGTGATTGTGTCTGTGTATGAATGGCTATTGGTTAGGCCGAGACTCGGACTGCCCCCTCTTTGATACAACTGCGGGTGCTTGGCATCGCGCCCCTATCGCGCGGCCCCCTGGTGGGGTGTGCCCTTGCCTGCCGGCGTGCTTGGGGCCCTTGGAGTCGGTGGCTGGGCGCTTGGGCGTGGGTCGGCTCGGCCTGGTGTCTGCCTGGTGGGGCTCGGGTCCTCTGGCCCTGTCAGGCCTTGGCCTGGGTGGTGTGGGTCCTCGGTGCCCGGGCCTCCGTGCCCGGGCCTGGACCTGCATCGGTGCGGCGGGTTCCGACGGGGGCCTATGAGTTTGTTGTTGTTGGCCCCGGGGGGTCACCGTATGTGGTCGCTGGTGGGGATCTTCCGGCTCTCCCCTGTGGTCCGATTTGGGGGGTGGGCGAGTGGTTCATCCTGTGTGGGTGGCCCTGGGGGCTCCGCGGTCGGGGTCCCTCCTGGGGTCTTGGGCTCTGATCCCCCCTTTTTTCGTCTGCCTCTGGTCTTGGGGGTCGGGTCTCTGCTGCTTCACAGTTACTATTAAATGTTCTATTAGAGAAGCCTTATACACTTATGCATGCTCAGAACCACACACAAATAGAAGCAGGGATGCTTATGTAGGCTTTATATGTAGATATATAGATATGTATATGAATGTATATTCATGTGTATGTATGCATGTATATAGGCATAGGTATGGGCATATATATTTATGGAAACTTACTGCAAAGCCATGAATATTTTAAGTTCTTTATACATATGTATTTTGTTGCTGTGTTTTGTCATGTTCTTTGCAGGTGAACAGACAGTGGCCGGGTGTTTTGCCTCTTTGTGTATATTTCTTATATTTTGGAGTCTTACTTTGACTTTTCTTTCTTTCTATCCTATTGAAAAAAAAAAAAAAGTATAAACAGAATTTAATGACACTGAAGTGCTTTTAACAGAGCTTGAATTAAATTTCTGCAATGAGTTCACTGGAGTATTTTAAAAAGTCACACATTTTTCTAAACAAGGAATTGTAGTCCATAAGGGTGTGACGGTTTGATGCAGAAACTGTCACATCTATAATGTCACATTTATGGGGTGGCTGTGGCTGAGCGGTTAGAGCAGTTGTCCGCCAATGCAAGGGTTGGGGGTTCGAATCCACCAGCAGTCACATGCCGAAATGTCCATGGGCAAGACACTGAACCCCTCACTGCCTCCGATGTGTGTCCCATCAGTGTATGAATGCCATCTAAAGCTCTGATTAGTCTCTTTAGAATGATTTGTTCAATTAGCTTTGTAGAGATCTAGTAGAGTGTTGTATGAAGGGGTAAATGAGGCACAGATTGTAGTGTAAAGCGCTTTGAGTGTCTTGATCAGATAGAAAGGTGCTATATAAGTACATCTGTCTGTTTGACGTCTGACTCAACAGTTCTGCTAACAGCAGCTTGATGCCCAGATGAATCAGGAACTGAGTGCTTTGGTTTCCTCTCGTGTGACAGAGTGGATGTCAACAAGGACCGGAGTGTGAGCGCCAAGGAGTTGCAGGAGTGGATCATGGAGAAGACAAAAGAACACTTTCAGGAGGCCATGAAAGAGAACAAGAACAGCTTCCGTGCAGTCGATCCGGACGGAGATGGTGAGCCTCTTTGTCTCTCAATAATCTTACTCTTCAAATACAGATTTAAAGTCAGATTTAAATACTACAAAACTCCTCTAACGTCTGCCTGCAGGCTACGTAACGTGGGATGAGTACAAAGTCAAGTTTCTGTCCAGCAAAGGCTTTGATGAAAAGGAGATCACTGACAAAATGAAGAAGAAGGAAGATCTGAAACTAGATGATGAAAGTATGTGTAAACTCCGTGTTCACAGAGGACAGTTGTTAAGTCTGAGAATAGCTCAATAGTTGATGTTGCCTCTCTTCACCTCTGCAGCTCAGGAGGTGCTGGAGAGCCTGAAGGACCGCTGGGTTCAGGCTGACAACCCTCCTCCTGACCAACAGCTGGATGAAGAGGAGTTCCTGTCCTTCCTCCATCCTGAGCACAGCAAGGGCATGCTCAAATACATGGTCAAGGAAATTGTCCGAGATCTAGGTACGTCTCACGTACATTCAAGTTTACGTAGGTTTATTGTCATTCTCACCACATGTGGTACATGAGGTGGAATGAAATTATGTACTCAGGGTCCCAGTTACATCCAACAATAGCAAAAATATAAAGTGTAAAAAGAAACCGTAAATAATGATCTAAGATATACAATTCAATTCAGTTTATTTATATAGCGCCAAATCACAACAAAGTTGTCTCAGGGCACTTTACAGGAACATTCACATACATAAAAGCCAATTAGTAAGGTTCTCTATCTAAGGAATCCAGCAGACAAGTTGAATCTTGGCTTCGTTGCAGTCTCCCATCCTGAGCAAACACAGTGGCAACAGTGGAAAGGAAAAACTCCCTTTTAAAAGGAAGAAACCTCCAGCAGAACCAGGCTCAGGACAAGCGGCTGTCTGCTTTGACCGGCTGGTTGAGTGGACAGGAAGGAGAGACAGACAAACATGGAATGGTATGTCCAGGTGTATCTGAAAGACAAAAAAAACACATGTTAAGGATAGAAAAAATTATTACAAATACAAAACGGGTTGAGCAGAGTTAAGTAAAGACAGTAGCAGAGTGAAAATTGTGGTCAGTTTGTCCTCCAGCAGTCTAAGCCTATAGCAGCATAACTAAGGGACAGTTCAGGAAACCCAAGCCGACCCTAACTATAGGATTTAGCAAAAAGGAAAGTCTTAAGCCTAGTTTTAAAACTGGATAATGTGTCAGCCTCACGGACAGAAATTGGAAGTTGGTTCCACAAGAGAGGAGCCTGATAACTGAAAGATCTGCCTTCCATTCTGTTTTTGTAAATTCTAGGAACCACAAGTAAACCTGTAGTCTGAGAGCGAAGTGGTCTGTTAGGAAAATATGGAACAATAAGATCTGTAATATAAGATGGAGCCAGTTTGTTGAGAGCTTTGTAGGTTAGAAGTAAGATTTTAAATTCTATTCTGGATTTGACAGGGAGTCAATGGAGAGAAACTAAAACTGGAGAAATATGATCTATCCTACTAACTCCAGTTAAGACTCTGGCAGCAGCATTTGGGATCAACTGAAGACGTTTTAAAGACGTACTTGGACATCCAGATAATAAACCATTGCAATAGTCCAGTCTAGGAATGCGCAACATAAACGGTACACGGTAGAAACGATAGAAATTTAGCCTACGATAGTGATCTGACTTCTACCGGCTAACCGCAGTATTGCTGTATCTGAAGTAAAATCAGAGTTGTCAGATTTAATCGTTACTTTTTTTTAGTTGAAAACTGCGCATGTGGCGTTAAAGTCTTTTCTTCGAGAGCTAAGTGGTGAAGCTACAAGCTAACTACATCCGGCTTGCCGTAGTGTTGCCGTATTCTGACGCATGCGCAAAATGCTGTGTTCCGTCAAAAGTTTTTTTGTTTCTTTTTTTCCATCGAAAGTTAAAATAAGCATTGGTCAGCTTTAGAGAAACCTGCTCTCTGATCTGTGAAAAGAACGCTGTGTTGTGTGATTTTACTGTGAGACCCTCTGGTCAAAGCCACAGTCATTTGGTGTCAGCTCTCCATTAAAGCAGAAGGAGGCACCCACTAGAGGTTTGGAGGGTGAAATGTTTCAGTGTAAAATGCTGCTCTGTTGCTGTTCATTTCTTAAGTAAGACTGGAAACTGTTAAGCGTTAACATGTTTTTTTTGTTTAAAACGTATTTCTAAAACCACATTTGATATCCTTTGCACTGTTTTGCACTACAAGAAAGAAGCCTAATACAGTACTTGATTTGTTTATTTTTTTAAAAACTCTGGACCTAGTAGTGGAATTGTCTTAATTCAAAACATATGATGGCAAAAGGACACCCTATGCTTTTTTTTTTAGCAAGTTTTATACCAAAAACATATTGCGATATATATAGTTATCGCCACCCTTCACAATACATATCGTGATATGAATTTTATGCCATATCGCACATTCCTAGTCTAGTCTAGACATGACAAATGCATGGACCAGTTTTTCTGCATCATTTTTAGATAAGGTGTTTCTAATTTTAGCGATATTACGCAGATGGAAGAAGGCGGTTCTGGTAACGTTTTTAATGTGGGGGATAAAAGACATGTCCTGATCAAAAATAACATCATGATTTTTAACATTAGAGCTGGAGGACAGATTAATGCCATCTAAGGAGGGAGAAAGACTGAAAAATTCATTCCTAAGGTGCTTGGGTCCAAAAACCAAAACCTCAGTCTTGTCTGTGTTCAACAGGAGAAAATTAAGTGTCATCCAGGTTTTTATGTCTTTAAGACATGCTTGTAGTCTAAGTAGCTGATTGGATTCATTGGGTTTAATGGACAAATATAATTGTGTATCATCAGCATAACAATGAAAATTTATCCCATGTTGTTTAATAACTTTACCTAATGGAAGCATATATAAAGTAAAGAGTATTTGCCCAAGCACTGAGCCCTGAGGAACTCCATAACTAACTTTGGCGTATGAAGATTTATTATTTACATTTACAAACTGGACTCTTGTCAGATAGATATGATTTAAACAATTTTAGAGCTGTTCCTGTAATCTCAACATCATATTCAAGCCTCTGTAGTAAAATATTGTGATCAACTGTATCAAATGCAGCACTGAAGTCTTACAGGACCAGCACAGACAGAAGTCCATTGTCTGAGGCCATGAGAACATCATTAGTGACTTTTACTAGTGCTGTTCTATTTCATATAGGCTTCGCCCTTTAAGAGCTGTCGCTTAGTGGGTTTTATCCCGTCATGCGGAGCATTACACCGAAAAATTTAGTCCACGCCCACCTGCCGTGTGGGCCTCACCCGGTCCGTATAAATTACGTTAAGAGCGGGTAATCGGCTCCCATTTTTTTTCATCGAGCTAATAGCACTGTCAGAAGAACGAAAAAGGAAAGTTGTGTAGATGACCAACCTCTGTTAAGAATGCTTGGCCCGTCACGTCGACCTCCGGTCGCCCCAGTGAGCTCTCCTCCCCGAGGAGAAGCTGACGAGCAGTTTTGTTTCAAGGTAGCGCGGAGGAGTATTTCTTAGTGACATGTCGCTACACGCTGGACAACGCCATCTTGTAATTTTCCTCTTATCGCCGACCCTCGGAGCGAATCAGATGGTTCCTCCGGGACAGGCGACGTCAGCAGTAGCCCCGCTGCTCATTCCCTCCTGGAGAGCATAGTGTCGGTGGAGGGGGGCTGAGCGAATGCTCACCTCGTCACACCTCGTTTCGCATTGGCGATCACACCGCTCTCAGCCGACGGCACCCTCTGGAGTTTGCCCTGCGTAACCCAGGAGGCGGCTGACATGAAGGGACCTTTTTTTACGTCCCTCGCCTTCTCCGCCAGTTCGGATGATCCGGCGGGAAGGTGTTTTCTGGGCTCGATCCTGCATCGCAGCCAGAGGATGGAGTTTTCAGCGTTTCCCTGAGACCGCCAACAGATGGCGCTCTAGGACAACAAATCGCAGAGCAAATGACGGTTTTTGCGGAGGATGTGTGTGAAGGTGACACGAGTTTGGATTAAAACATCATTTAATGATGAAAGTGTCTATTTTTAGCCAGTCTGTCAGCTCGGATGACCTGACAGCGGCTCCCTCTCACATCCTCCACACGAAATGAGCCGGTGGCAAAGACGTTCCACGGCCGTCACGCTGAGCTTCACCGCAGCCCCGCCCGTCAGAGACCGGCCCTCTTCATCCCGGCAACCGAGTGTCCAATGTTTTCCCAGAGATCCCCAGCAGATGGCGCCCTGGGCCAACAAATCCCAGAGCTCACGGGGGAAAAGATTCAAAATGACGGTGTTCGGAGGGTGTGTGTAAAGATGACACAAATGTTAAAATAAAACATCATTCAATGATTAACGTGTCTGTTCTTAGCCAGTCTGTAAGCTCGGATGAACTCAGAGCGGCTGCGCACAAATCCTTCACACGAAGCGAGCCGGTGTCCTTAAATAAAGGGTTTTTTAAATCACTGCTGTTCTAAAACAAGACGAGATGTTCACATGACACAACGATGGTAAGAAAAATAACTCGTTTTTCAGCCTGAAATGCGCAATCTTCACCTGAGCGGTGCCAAACGCGTACTCACGCTATGCGAACAGCCGTCACCCTAACGGCGCCGCGTTGATGAAGTGCACCCACAGTTCCCTGGCGTTCACCAATACATACCGATCATTCCTAACAGAAAATTTCTGCGCTTCTCTTTTCAAGGGATGATGGATCAGTATAACAGGTTGCCGCTCGAATATTCCCTTGCGCCTCGACATTCTTAAATATGTGGAAACGGCCCTGCAACCGTTACACAGAGCAGGGATGTGAGTTTTGTTGTTACCTGAACGACCTGCTGCCGCTGTCACGCTCCAGATAGTAAGCAGCGATGCAGGCTCAGGTGTTGACATCACACCTGTTAAATCTGGGGTTCGCCATAAATTAGAAGAAAAGCTTAATTCTCCCGGTCCAGACGATTGTGTATCTGGGAGTAGAATTAAACTTGACCACCATGCGGGCTCGTTTATCACAAACGAGAATCGACACTTTAAAAGACCAGTTCCGTCACTTGAGACCTGGCAGAGTGGTGACAGCTGTTTTTCCGTCATGAAGCTGTTAGGAATGATGTCATCAGCTCACACAGTGGTTCCGCTGGATTTTTACATGAAACGCCTCCAGAGCTGGTTTGCGCGCCTGCGTGTGGATCCAGTAAAACAAGAGACGGCTGATCATTGTTCCTCCCTCTGTGAGAGCAGACCTCCGACACTGGGAAAACACCCTGGCTCTGTTGGAGGGAGTCCCCATCAGCAGACCCACGTCACACGTGCCAGTCTTCACAGACGCAGGGCTGGGGGGGGGGGGGGGGGGGGGACATGCCTATCTCATGCTGTAGGGGTGCTGTGGCCTCATCACACATCAGCCCACATAAATGTTTTGGTGTGTCGCATGTTTTTGAACGTGATTCAACACTTTGCTCCTGTGCTGCAGAATCAACACGTTTTGATTCACACAAACAAGGTTA